TTTATTATATGGGTGGCATGCATACTTAATTTATAACAAAAAAGTTGACCAGGCTTTTAAATCTCATATTTTAAGAAGTGCTTTATTGCGTGTCTGGAAGAAGTATTATTATAGATTAAATTATAAAATACCAATCCGGGGGATTCCTGGACACATGATAGAGGGGGTATCTATGGGTGTGAGTTTGGATAGGATTTCTTATAAGGAATTACTTAGATTGGTAGGGAAGATTGGCAATTAAAACTGTTAGTTGAGTTAAAGCAAGAAAATATTGTACAGTCATGGTTTCAGTATAATCAATTGTTGGTTAGGTGGAAGTTAGATCAAAAGGTTGGTATTACCTTAATGGATGAGAATTTGGTAAAACAGATTAAAGATCAAAATCCAGTGCATATAAAGAGAATTTATAATGTTTTAATAGAATTGGATTCGGAAATGGATTTAGTTAAAGATTGTATGGTAAAATGGGCCCAAAATATTCAAGAACCGATTCCATTGGATATATGGGAGGTAATTTGGGTTAGAAATGTAAAATTTTCCCAGGCCCAAAATTTAAGAGAAAATTTTTACAAATTTTTTTATAGATGGCATCTGGATCCTAAAAAGTTGTCTTGTATGTATCCCAATTTACAGCCCAAATGTTGGAGATGTGGTAGCTTGGATGCTACTTATTTTCATATCTGGTGGACCTGTAGAAATATAAAAGCTTTTTGGATTAAGATTTGGTGGAACATTCAAAAGATTTTTAGGAGAAAAATAAAGTTTATCCCACAATTATTTTTATTGGGTGTTATTGTAGATTGTGATGCTAAAGAAATTAACTTGATGTTGAATTTGATATCAGCTGCAAGGTTATTGGTAGGGCAATATTGGAAGAAGGATTGCTTGCCTACTATAGAAGAATGGATGCTTAAAATGTCAAATTTAGCAGAAATGGCCAAAATTTCTGCTTACTTGAAGGATCATTCACAAGAAAGATACATTTTGGTCTGGAGAAGATGGATAGATTATATTCAGAATAAATATGGGACTAAAAAGTTCCATTTAGTTTATGAGTAAATTTTAGAGTATTATTATTATTAATAGTTTATTATAGTTGAATTTTTATTAGTTTTATTATTATTAGTAGTATTAGTATTGTTTAACAATTTGGATATTGTATTGTTTAATAATATTGACTTGTTTATATTATTATGTTTATTTTTAATTTGTTTACACTTATGTTAAAGGGGAGTTAAAGCGCATTATGGACTTGGTTATTTATATAGTTGGTTAATGTTAGAGTTTGATTATTATATTTGTAACCCTGTACTCAGCTCTGGGAAGTTGGGGAGGGAGAGGGGGGTTTAGGGTGGGTGGGTTTTGGGGTATATACTGCAATTTTTATAAAACTTTTCAATAAAAAAAAGAAGCCTTAGAAAAGTGATGCATGAGTATGGATTTTTATGCATATACATATATATGTACACACATTCTTACCTATCATTTTTTCCACCATTCAGCTACAGATACTGAAAAAATTGGCTATGATTCCACCATCTACTAAAAATAATCAAGATAGAAAAGTTATTCTGATAGAATCAAATGATGTTAGAAAGCTTTTTTACTAAGATAATTCTGATGCCTAAGTATTAAAGAGCAAACTAAAAGCATGCAACTGCTCTTGACAAGGACAAATATAAAAGAAAATGAGTGAAGCCTATGTGGTCAATAGGGCTCTCATATGTATGGAAATTGGAGTGTGCTCATATTCCATTTTTTTTACAATACACAACCAGCAAAGATTTTATCCTGTCTGTGGAACTGATGCTGAGTAAAGTAACTTAAAATAGAATTATGCTTTATTATTTTATTTTGTTCTGTTGTCCTTTCCACTATTTCAGTGTCCTTTGATTCACACTGGACAAACATTGTACAACTTCTCTGTCCCATTTTCTGCATCTTTGTAGATTTATTAAATGTCATTATGTACTTCTCTGTGAACTGATTTTCAATCTTCTGTTATTTGCAAGAGAAGTGGAAAATTATGCTTTTGTGATTTCTATCGACCTTGTAAGAATATTTACTATTTTTAATGAGAGTATTAAGCACTTCAGTGACTCACTGCATGTGAATGCAGATGCCCATTTGCCATCTGTTTATTTGCTAGTGAGTTCATAGCTATTTGCATCAGCTGTTATGATTTCACATTCTGACTTTCTGAAATTTTTGGCCAAGTGAGGACTCATGATAGAATTGCCTCACCATTTGGCAGAACAATTAAAAAAAAACCAAACAAAAAACACCAATTAAGTGGGAATATCCTTTGCTTGCTGATTTTTAAGGAATGAAGAATAAATGTGAAATCTGTATCTATCTATCTATCTATCTATCTATCTATCTATCTATCTATCTATCTATCTATCTACCCACATCTATCTACCCATCATCTATCTACACAAATACATACATACATATATATATATTCTAGCATCTAGCATCTATCACAGTAATAGATACATACACACATACATGTTTGTGTGTGTGTGTGTGTGATCCAATTATGTGTCCTCAAGTTGTTAATTTGTAGCAACCACATAGACAGACTTTCTCTAGGATGATCCTAAGCTGATCCTTCAGGTGTTTCAACCATGCAACCGTTTTCTACTGTCATTTTGTAGCTTCATCTTTCTCTGGATGTCCTTGATATCTCTTTTATTCCACCTCTTGCAGCACTATAGACTTCTCAAAAGCGCTGTGTTTTTGCATAATATTGTATGTCCAAAACATAATAATTAATGCCTCAAGTGAGAACTCCAGATTTCATTTGCTCTCTGATCAATTTCTTTGCTTTTCTTTAGCTGTTCATTGCATTCTCGGAATCTCTATATTTCAGGGATAATATAAAAAAATTAAAAAGTGAATATATTCATTAAATAACATATTGGATATATGTTATTTAATATCAGATATAACATACTGTAACAGATCACATGCCTAAGTAATTTAAATAAATAATCAGCGTATGGGAAATTTAGGTTGAATTGTTTTATGAGAACAAATGCCTGAAAGGGAATAAGAAAAATAATTGTTAAATGATCTTTCATTAGTATAATTTAATCAGTTACAATGACCTGCTTTTTCCAATGTAGCTTTAGCGGTGTTTTAAGCAAAATAAAATTGCAGGCGGAGCTACACTTCTGAATCACACTTTGTGCCATACTGTTATCTTGTGCTCTAGCAGTAAAATATTACACTCTGCATTCATATCTCTACTTTGATGCATCAAAGGAAGGCAAATGAGAGTATTTGCAGAATCAGGTGGGGCCAAATCTGAAAGATGGCAGGTACTGCATTATGATTCAAACATAGCCATTTTCCCCATATGAAAGATGGTGTATTGTAGAAAGAAGATGGATGGGGTTTGACTCACAAAGCTGCACATGCTGTTGGGCAGATTTTCGTTTCCTCCTTTGCTAGTAAAGTTACAGCAAGACAAACTTTGTTTTTCTTTACTATCTTGCTTTATTCGGTGACACATGGAAATATTTTTTATATTAGGTTATATTTAAAAAAGACATAATAAACCATGGTTTCATAGTAGAAAAAGGTTACAAAAGTTAAGAACGTGGTGGCGCAATGGTTAGAATGCAGTATTGCAGGCTAATTCTGCCTACTGCCAGCAGTTCGATCCTGACCAGCTCAAAGTTGATTAAACTTTCCATCCTTCCGAGGTTGGTAAAATGAGAACCCAGATTGTTGAAGGAAAAATGATGACTCTGTAAATTGCTTAGAGAGGGCCATAAAGCACTATGGAATTTAAGTGTTATTGCTATTGCTACAATGTAGCTCAGTCTCATGTTCTTGCAATCCCTTTCCATATTTTGTTCAGCTGTAGGGTAAGGGTGTCAAACTGCCGGCCCATGGGCCGGATGTGTCATGGCAAAACCGTGCCCATCCCATTGCCAGAAATGGGAAAAAAAGTTGTGATATGTCATGTGACATTGCGAGTTTGACACCACTGCTTTAGGGGAATGCACCACACTATTCTGAAGAAATGCTATCAGTGATGACATAGCAATGTGTAGCTGCTGTGAATGTGTACAAACAGCTCACTACTGCACATGACTGACATTCTCATACCTGATTCATTTATTTTATGGCTAATTGGATGGTTTGTTTTCTCCTCTCCCTATTATATACAGTTTATTTATATTTTATTCTATCTGGTCACTGACTAAAATAAAATTATGTATCGGCCTGCCTGCCTGTCTCTCTATGTATCATCCATTGAACTGTCTAGCTATCTGGCTAAATAGCTATCATATTTCAATTAAAAAAAATGTTCATTTTCAGGTTTGATTATCCATAACTTGTCATACATCTGACTTTCAAAATGTAGTTTAACTATGGCTTATGTGAACCAAGCCAGCTTCAAAACATAGATTATGTTGCTGGTTAACATCAATACATCTTAATTAAGGTAAATCATATTTCAGTGATTTGACAAGATAATGGATAAACAAAAGGAAAGTGCTTAAATTTGTTCCATTTATAGCAAAGTAGAATTCATTGTGATGTTCCAACTCAATCACTTGCTTCCTTTGCTGTTCAAATTCAAAGTAACTGAGGAACCTGAAATCCATAAACATTTTACATATAAACCAATATTTAATACTTTAAATTATTGATATAATTGAGGTGATAGCACTGAGTTAAGCTTGCTCCTTAGTAATTTTTATGCAAGAATGTCTGAAATGTCAATAAAGTTGGAATCTTCTCAACCCTGTCAAAATAATAGCTTGAATCGGTAATAAGTTAACTTAACCCCCATTAAATCAATGAAACCTAAATCACAACTAATATGACCCATTGAGTTTACTGTGACCAAAATTGAGTGAAGGAGGAGATTGAGAGAAATCTCTGGGGAAAAAAAAAACCTTCAATGTGTATTATAAATAAATGACCTGGTTTTTTGTCCATCCAATTGAACCTAGCCTGTTATTTTCTATTTGTTGCAGATTAAAGCAATTGTGTGAGGTGGAACTGAATCAGAAATATAATCATTATGATTAGAGAACATTACATGGATACTTGTTTATTCATTTTCTCAGATGCTCAATAAAGTAAGTTCCAGTTATTGCTCTTTTCAAATGAACTGTTTGGTTTATTTTTTTTCCTTGAATTATTCTAAATCAGGTTAGCTTTCTTTATAAGGCATATAGGTGGAGGTTATTATTTATTTGTTTATTTATTGCAGAGTTACCCAATTTGCACTCTTTCAATCTAGCTGAGAGACAGACAGATAGAGAATCTGTAGTCTGAAATGCTATAGTGTAGAAAAAGCTATCTGGTATTCTGAGGTCGAACTGTCTTTATTTTAAAAATATAAAGATAGATTATAAATGTAGGTATAGGTATAAATTTACCAACAAACACAGGAACACACTCACACAAAATGTCTTACTGCACAGTAACTGCAAAGGATTTACACATACTGGTATGGTCTTTTATAGAAAGAATGCTGTAGCTCCATACTACTCATGAAGTTTAGTGAGTACATGAGCAAGGATAATTAAACTGCCCCATATTCAACTATTCTTCTCTAGCCTAGAAATATTGCTATAAATGGTAATTTCATGTCAGCCTTCATGCTATATAATGAAGCCAGATTTTTTTCTTTTTTATTTTTGACTTGACTTGGATTTTAATGACAGCCAAAGAACAGTTCTCCCTATTATTTCTATCCAAGCTATTACTGTTTCCTTCTTCTTGTCACCATCCAACTGCTATTGCATTGGCAACACTGACAATAGTCAGACAGAAAGAACAGAGATTGAGCTGGTCTGTTTCTGCTCTTCCACTCCTCCAAAACATTCTGCCTTTGACCTTCTTCTATTTCTGATACCTAATATTTTATTAAGTGGTAGTAAAAGTCCTATCATCTTGAAAACTGAGGGACTAGGATCAGAAACTTAATGCTATATCTTCTACTTCTCCGTTAAATATATTGGTGGAGAAAGGGTATGTGTTTATCAATGCTTGAAAAAAAGCTCTACCAATATACCTGATGATATCTGATTCAGCAGATGCCAGAAAGGAAGGAGGGAGAGAGAGAGAAAAAAAGTTGAAGACTTGGGTCTTAGCAGCTGCCAAGGAGAAAAAAGACAAAAAAAATACTTCCTGCCTGCCGTTGTCAGAATAATAGGTGAGGAAACAGTTAGTGCTTCTACAATGTTATGGGGTCGTAGAAGAAGGACTATCAATGGCATGTAAATTGAAGACTTTATGGGGGAGGGAAATCCCCTTTTTCATATAAGTGCTAGTCCACGTCCCAATCCAAATCAGATTTGACACAATTCATCAATTTTGACACTGGGCTCAGATTTAAATGGGGGGGAGAGGGAAATTAAAGAGCCTTTGATTGTCTGATAATGATGATGATGATACTCACCATAAAATCAGAAAGACAGGATGCTTCTATAGTCATCGTATACAATGTTATGCATATACACATATATTCCAACTCCAAAATGTTGCTTATACTTAAAAATCCAAGCAAATATCCAAGTGTCCATTTTTGTTTAGTATTAGAAGGGGCTTCTGCTTTCTATTTCTCATATTTAAAACCAGAGGATTGCTGTTTTGGTATAATTCCAAACCATTTCAAGTTCAGTGGCTGGAGTTTAAATAATTTAATACTAATATTACATCATCCATCCATTTTTCATCCTTTTATAAATAAACTCAGAAGTATATAATAAGAAACTGCACATGATAAACAAAACAGCTTTCAAACTGGCGTTCTACTAATGGTCTATTATTTGACTGGGGAAAATGGTTCTGCTGCTTTCCACTTTTACTGTTTTATTTTGGCGTAATTTGCATCCATTGAGAAACGGTAATCCAGAGTTAACCGGGTGGGGGAGCTCTTTACAAAAATGCATAGGCTGTCACTTGAGTTGTTCATTTACTGCTTTCTCTCATTTCTCAGAAATGTCACCAAGTAGTATAAAATAAATTTTGCATAAAGACTTGTAAAAGACGATAATGTTTTTGCCTCAGGTTAGTAGTGTTTGAAATGTGGAAAGGGGAAAAAAGGGAAGAAATTAAACAAAGAAGACCCCAAATTAATCAGAAGCCTTTAGAAATTCATTTGGAAATTGGCCAGATATTCATTTCTTTTTCTCATTAAGCCATTTAACACATCTTCCCCCACCCTTTCCTTGAAGAAAGTAAGTAATCAAGAAGTTGGGAGTCCTGATATTTTCCAATTACATTTTTGTGCAGAATAATGTGAAGTTATGAGGTATAATGAAGACCTACGGGATACTATTAGTATGGTTTTTCAAAAACAGCAAAACTTCCTTTAAATATTTATTTTAGTCACTAACCCATATGTAGAAGCAACGATTTCAAAAAGATTTAGCGAACAAGCCCCAGCATCAAAAAGACAGAACGACACTATAGAAGAAATGAGCAAGTGCTTTCAATTCAGTATTTTTTCCCCGTTAAGCATACTCACAATTGGGGGGGGGGATTCTTCAAGTTAACCCCCCCAAAAAACCCAACCAAATAACTCCAAGGGGAAATGCATTGGGGAAGAACTCCTGTGTTACTATAAAATGTGGTTTTGCTATTTTTTCCCCTAACGAAGTAAAATTGATAGTAACTGATTGATAGTAAATATGACAGTGGTTTATTACACAACATAGGAGAACCTCATCTTCCGCACATCTTTCCACTTGTTTCCCCTTATTTTCTGATTTTTTTTTCATAGGAAAACACAGAAAAACCTACTGATTAACTGATTCAGTGAATTATGAGCCAGCAGTTCATAAATTCAGTTAAATATGAGCCAGCAGTGTGCTGCAGCAACCAAAAAGAGCTAATGCAATCCTTGGTTGCATAAACAGAGGGATATAGTCAAGATCACATGAGGTATTAGTAGTGCTTCATAAAACCGGAATACTGGAATACTGTATACAGTGTTGATCACCAAATTATTAAAAAGGTTTTGAGACGTTTGAAAGAGTGTAGAAAAGAGCAGCTAAGATGATTAAGGGCCTGGAGTCTAATAGATATGAAAAACTGTTGCAGGAATTGGGTATTACTCTAGAGAAAAGAAGGACTAGGGGTGACATGATAGCAGTGTTGGAATATTTGAAGGGCTATAACAAAGAAGAGGGGGTTAACCTATTTTCCAAAGCACCAGAAGGTAAGACAAGAAACAATGAATGGAAATTAATCAAGGGGAGAAGCAAACTAGAACTAAGGAGAAATTTCCTAATAGTGAGAACAACCAGTGGAAGGCTGGCCTCCAGAAGTTGTGGGTGCTCCATCACTGGAGGCTTTTAAGAAGATACTGGACAGTCACTTGTCTGAAATGGTATGAGGTCTCCTGTTTGAGCAGGTGGTTGCACTAGAAGACTTGCAAGATTCCTTCCAACTGTATTCAGTATTCAGAGAGGCAGAGGTTGTTGGTTTTTAACCCTCTTATGTGATATTTTTTTCAGTAAAGGACTCACACTATAGATAGCATTAGCCTATCTTTAAAAAGAGGACATGCATGCATGTGTTTGCTCAGTACTGAAATTCACAGATGAACCAAACATGCATTTTTCATAGCTTGTTAAATGTAGCAGCAAGTTTATATAAATATATGAATGTGCTGAGCAATCACTTTGCAAAGAATTACATATTACATGCCATCTTTGTACACATTACAATGATGAAAAGGGGAGTTTCATGTCTATACTCTGTGCCTCCCGAAGAAGAGATGAATGTGTAAAGGCACTCCATGTGACACATTAAAAACCAGTCTTCCTGATCATAAATCGTAATATTCCATTTTAGACATCTACAAATGTACAAATATCAAGAGAAATGATCCAATGGCATACATCTGTTTTCCTCATGGAGGTGTTCAAAAAAAAAAAAAATTGGGATGTGATTAATTAATATTCCATTTGTGGTTTCTCAAGTAGGAGGAGCCTAGATGTGGGTTCTTTGTTTTACATTTGGGAGAAATTCGCTCAAATCCCCTCCCCATATTTTAAAACAACCCATTTCATAATTCAAGCTATCGAATCACCCTGCCCAAAAGGGGTCTGCTGTCACTCATTTTTACAATATGACTTAGGGCTTGTGATCCAAAAGCCTAGCATGATCCAGTAACTAATGAAGATGCAAATTTATCTGTTGTAAATATATGATAGTGTCCAGGTTTAAATGGAGACAGTTCATATGCTCATCTGAGAATCGTAATGTTGAACAATACAATCTAAAACATGAGAGAAAGCTTATCCTCTCACAGGACCCCGAACAACAATTACTCTTTTCCCTCCTGTTGTTTGTGCCTCTGCATTTGTAAGAATATAATTGTTTTTTTACTCATCTAAGATTAAACTTTAGTTCAATGTATTTATTTAAAAGGTGATGAAATATTCTACTTTGAAATGCAATACCAAAACCTAAACCTTTGATCAAAAATCATATGGACATATCAACATTTGGCCATTTGTTCGAATATTTTTAATTCTTATCTTTAGAAAAAGGGCTGCTGTGTTTCTACATTGTTATGTCCATTCTGCACCATTTAATCTGAAAATTAATAATATGTATGGATGCTTATATTTCTAAAAATGGCTTAATAGCTTTACATCTAAATATAAAAGTCCTTTCAATTCCCTATGCTAATTCTGAAACTAAAATGAGTACGCTCCAGGAAGTTATCTTAAAGATTCATTTTTATACGTTCGCATAATGTGTACATATGTATTCCTAAAAATGAAATATTTGACATAAAATATCAACATTCCCATTAAATTATATTTGATCAAAGAATTGAACATGTCACAACAGTTAATACACATAGTTATCACTTACTGAATTGCTCATTTTGCAATTGTTTGAAGTTATGACAGTGTTAAAAAAAAGATCTTGCATTTATGACAATTTCAGCATCATACATTCACGTGATAACCATTCATGTGCTTCAGAACTGGCTTTCAACAAGCACAGAAAATCATGCTGATTTATTTCATGACTGAATGGAGAGTGATGTTTAAGGTGACCAACTTTTTTACAATAAAAAGGGAGATACAAATAAATTGAAGAAAAAAATATCGTAAATAAAAGAAACATTTTATTTATTGCAACAATAATACAGAATACACTATAATATGATAAATGCATAATAAAAACATTTGTAACAATAACATTCTACATTGTAATTATGCTTTCATGCCATGCCGCCGCCCACAGCTGCCCCGCTGTGTAGAGCGGGCCCCACAGCTCCCAAAGCACCAGCTGCACCGGCTCCAGCCCCAGGGGGCAGCCCGATGTCAACACACCCCACCTGCAGCCGCCCCGCCAGCACTGCTGCCCACCCTGCACAGCCCCGTGTAGAGCAGGCCCCACAGCTCCCACAGTATGGGGGGCAGCCAGCCATCACTGCCCCTCACACTCCTGCCCACAGCAACCCCACTTCCCCTTCTTGTGCCCACAGCCATTATTGCCCTAGCAGGGCCGAAGATCAAGAGAAAGTTACTGTGGCGTTGCTGCTTCAGTCTCTTCCAGGTATCTTTGGGACTAACTAGGAGATGGTGTAGTTGGGTAGCAGGGAGGGGTGCAATGTTCCTGCCAATTCGTCTTCGCTGCAGACAACTTACATGTGCAACGTTTGCTGGCCGGGTGTTTTGGCACGCTTTCGAAAGCCAATAGGGGGAGTAGCACAGCTCATGCAAAAGTTGAAAAAAAAACATCAAAAAAAGGTGCCGGAATGCCGTTCTGAGTGTTCTATGAGGAAAAAAAAAGCCCTGCAGATTAGTCTTCAAAGATTGAAAAGGAGGACATGTAGGAGGACACTTTTCGAGGGAGGACAGAACTCACAAAAGGAGGACTACCCTCCCTAAAGGAGGAGGGTTGGTCACCTTAGTGATGTTGTAAGCCCGTAACAGTCACATAATTTTCTGCTTAGCTACTATGGTGTTTAGGAATGGAATTGTTAATCCCAATTGTGGTTGCTAAGCAAGAACTACCTGTAATTAATATTAAATGGTGTATATCAATTGATACTACTTTAAGTTTCATAATTCCTATTACAAGAACTCTTAAGCAAGTAATCATATATTTTTCTAATGGAGTTGGCCAGTTGTTGGAATTAGGCCACCATTTTAAATGC